TCCTTCAGTCGCCCTTTCGCAATGTTGAGCGCAAAGAACGCATGGGACCAATCATGGACGATGTCGTCGCTCACTAGCCACGCAGGCAAAGATGGAAGCCATATCTTGCTCTTCCAGTTATGTCCTTGCACGGCGCGCTGAATCACGGCACTCCAGTTTTCAGCCAACTCGAAGTGCAAGATGACGGAACGTGACTTCACATGCGCTTTCTCCAGCCATGTGGCTTTTCGCTGGGCGCGTCTGATGAAGAAGTGGGGAATGTATTTTTGTTGTCCCTTTCTGAAACTCGTTAACAAAACCGTGGCATCCAAACGTCTTCTTTTTTTTATCACCTTGTTATTGCATTCCCACAAGGCAAGCACCAGTTCGCCTTCGCGTTCGAGTCCTAGCTTAGCCACAGATGCGTCATTCGTTTTCAAACAGACTTCACATTCTAGCAAGAAGCAGTCTTGCGGAGGGGCCTTTTTGAAGACGTAAACAAAAATAAAAACATTATTTCGAAATCATAGAGGCTCATAATGCCGGTAAGGTTGCTGCATTTTAATCAGATGAGCACACATTTCACACGATTGCGGCTCAAGCAGAGGACATAAAACCAAAATATTACATTTCTAGTTTTTTTTTCTTCTTATAGTAGACTACGATATCAAAAACAAAATTTACATAAATTTTTTTTTCTTAGAAAATCGACTTTAAACTTTTGACATTCGTTATTTCTCACAACTTTAACCTGAAGGTGACGGACCGGCTAGTCAACAGATCATAATGGTATTATATCTATAATGGGATTGCGTTGGGCGTTCTATAGAGCTAAAGAAAGAAAATTTACCTTAAATACAAAGTAAGGACCTGTCAAAGTTAACCAAAAATCGACCTAATTGAAGAGTTTGAAACTTTTTTTAGAAAAAAAAAATTCCTAAAAATATTTGAATGCATCAAGATAGTTTTATAGTACCTATTAAATTAGGAGGAAAAGTTAAGATGGTAGAGGAAAGATAGTAGCGGCAGCAGAGGCTGTTCAACACGAAACCTGCGACGGCAGGCAAAAATACTAGTTTCTGCCACTGCGGCTTCTACGCTTCGTAACTCAAAAACCAAAAAAAAAAAAAAAAATCTGGAGAACTTGCGGTTTACGCCCTTCTTCATTTGAGAAATGCCCCCAAAACATTTTTTTTTTCGGCAAAATGAAAAAATTAACCCTTTAGCCTGTTCAATTTGAGATGAAACCACCCTTGGAATCATTGGTCAAGCTTATAATGAAAGATCTATATTTATTTACTTATTGTACATACCCTCAAGCGCCGAAGCATATTAGAGGGGAGGGGCAAAGCAAACAGAAATAAAACAAAATGACAAAACAAAAAACATTCGGCAAGAAATTCAAATATCAAAAATACACTGCGATTGGCAAAAGCTGTAAGCAACATCTGTTATGAACAAAATGAACAAAATAAAATGACTCATGTTGGCTCATCAAACAGAAATGTAAACAAAGATTGGCGAAAAAGGAAATAATCAGGTATAGTTGCGATATCTGCTGGAAGGTGGTTCCAGTCATTTGATGTATGCGGGATAAATGAATGAAAAGAAGTGTTTGTTTGGCAACGTGTTAATTTAACTTTATTCTGATGGTTCAAACGGGAAGAGAATGTAAAGAAAGGGTCTCGCAGCGACTGATAATGATACACTTTATGAAACAGGCACAGTCGAAAAAAATCTTTCTACACAATGACAAAGAGGGTAACAACAAACTGAACTTCATTTGTGATATGCTGGCTGTTCGATTATAATTAAACAGAATGAAACGTACGGCGTTATTTTGAACTAGTTCAAGAGATTCATGTATAAAGGCGTGGTTAGGATCCCAAATAGAGGCTGCGTATTCCAATTTTGACCGTACAAGTGTGTTATAAAGAAGTTTTAAGTTAACTGGGGCCGTTCTGAAGTTCCGTCGTTGGTATCCTAACATGCGGTTAGCGTTGGCGATTATTATATCGATATGATGCTGCCATGTTAAATTCGATGATATAGTAACACCCAGATAACGGTAAGAGTTTACAGATTCAAGTTGAATGTCGGTTAGTGCATATGCTGAAGGGCGCGCGCCTTACCGAGAAACCCGCATTAGTTTGCATTTGTTAGGGTATAGTTCCGTACATCATTTTTTGCACTAAAACGTAATATTATTTAAATCAGATTGCGAAAGGCCTTCATCATCATCATCATGAACTTCCCGATAAGTTACAGTCATCTGCGTATAAATGCATGGAAGAAGAAACACAACTTGGTAAATCAATAATGATTAGAAAAAGAAGCGGGCCTAAAACCGTACCTTGGGGCACGCCGGATACCGCATCAGTCAGAGATGAATTATTGCCATTTAGAGTTACATACTGTGAGCGGTTAGCAAGAAAGCATTCCAGCCAGGTTAACAAATTAGGATCTAGGTTTAATGAAGAAATTTTAAGCATTAGTAACTTATGATTAACCTCGTCGAATGCTTTAGAAAAATTGAGAAAAATACAGTCAGCCTGGTGGTTTTTGTCTAGGATAGCATGCAAAGAATGGGTGAAATGAAGGAGCTGCGTTTCACAAGTAAATGAGCGACGGAAGCCGTGTTGAGCAGGGGCAAAAAATGAATTTGATTCTAGGTAATTAAAAATATGAGAGTACAGTATGTGCTCCATTATTTTACAGGGAATACTTGTTAGTGAAATAAGTCAATAACTTAATGGAGAATGCTTTTTACCGGACTTATGCAGTGGAACCACCTTCGCAGTTTTCCATTTTAGTGGGAGCGTTCCACACTCAAGAGATTGCTGGAAAAGTTTGGCCAAAAAAAGGATGAGTACATTTTAGTTTGTCTTAAAAATTTGGAGTTAATATTATCGCTTCCGCATGACAATGATACTTTCAAAGAATCAATTAACTTTACAATTCCAGTAGGCTCCATGACAATGGGAAACATAGGGCTAAACTCGCAACGTAGAACGTCATAAAATACACTTCCATCACCTACAAAAAAACTATTTAAAAAAAAACATTATTAAACACTGATGGATATTCTGCCGCAGGGATTAACGCTCTCCAGTAGGAGTGGGTCAAAAAATCTGCCATACTCCTACAATCGCTATAAGTATTCATTACGAGTCGCTTTCAGAATATTAAATAATAATTTAGAATTCTAAGATGTCCATCCAACTCGATTCTTTCATAACCACCGATATTTCTGACCTGCACAAGCCAGTATGAAGAGACGAGGTAAATGGACCATCATGCAAAGCTGGCGGAAAGAAAAAATGGTATTCATTTGGTTTTGGATTGGAAGGTGATGACCAAATGATCAAGTCAAACATTCTACTTTTAGTAAGGGCAGCACTGTTTGGTTGTTTTGGTAATATAGCAAGAATTGTTATTAACTTTTAAGATATTCGAATTATGTTCAGTTGATTGTAACTATTTATAAAATAAAACAACCTATTCCGTAAAAACATTTTCTCTGAACCTAGACATGTTTGTATCAAAGTCTGGCCACACCGTCCACAAAGTCGAACCAAGGCACATATTCTTTGGTCAAACCTTGTAAAACTTGGTTAAGCGTTCGAAGGTTCGTTCAACCATTCTAACCTAGAGGTTCGACGTAAAAATCCGACTCGACGAAAGTTCGTGACCATCTTTAGTTCCAACATATCTGCAGGAGAAGCTCCGCCTCGAAACCCCGGAGAAAAATGGCGCTACTAGATAAATGCACAATTTTTCTAGCGTCACATAATCGGGCGGCGGAGAAAAGCTCACCGGAGAAAAGCTCACCGAAAAACAAGCACATGCGGTGAAAAGCTCACCGGACCCTGAGCCGAGGTGGAGAAAAGCTCACCGAATGTTTTATTCTTTTCATAGAAAAGCTTTTAGATGGTGTTTCTCATTTCATTTTCACTAATATTAGAGTTCGTCAGTTTAGTAGAGAAAATTAACATTTTTATGTAATATTTATCAAATTTATCATGCATATTTCCTGCAAGTGAGGAATCCAGTAGTTTGTCTATTAATACCGCCGGAAGTAAAAAAAAAGAAACGGGATGCCTGTAAAGAGGACAACAATTTATTGATAGCATCACTTTTACCTAAGTCAAAATTTTGGCTCAAAAACGAATGCACTGCCCAACTGCTTCGAGGAGCACGGGGAGCTGCTTGTGCTGCAAATAATCCGTGCAGAGGTGGTGTAGTCGGCCTTGCAGTCGGCTTGTCTCCCTTCTCGTTTTCTTAGCGGGCGGCTCTCCACGGCTGACTTGCAGCAAGGTTGTACTGGCGGCCTCTTGGTCTTGCTGCAGGCACTCGATGAGCCTCCAAACACTCGGATGAGAATGCCCAACGAGGTGTTTAAAGGCGTTATTCCAGCCCTCGCAGGCGTTGTTTGTGCGGTCCTCCCCTCGCAGCGTTGCTTCCATGACGTTCCAGATCTCCGGAGGAAACTGCAGGGGCGTCGGCGGCGCACGGTGGTTGTCAGTCGTCCATCTGCTTCCGCTCTTGAAACAGTGCGAAACGTTCCGCTCACGTATGTGGAGTCAAAGTACGCGAGTATTTCGGCCATGTCGTCGGGTGCCATGTCACGAATGTGCTGAAGTCCAGATGGTACAAGGTCGGGAGGCACGAAGGCAAGGCCGTCAAGCATCCCGCAAGCCTTCCTGAAGGCGTCGTCGGTCCGGTACCTGCTGATCAGACCCAGCTCACGTAGCTGTGGTGAACAGAAATGTAAAATTAGCAAACACCTATGCATACACATAAATGCGAGCAGCGAGGGGGAACATAACATTTTAAACGCTACAACACTTTTATTGGTAATTTCATGTTGCGCATCCGCACCCTAATAACTCTCCTTGCCTATCGTATTTCACATTATTCCAATTAGCTTTCAATAAGGTGATATTAAATATATTTTGTTATAAAGGATGAAATAGAAATCATTGTTTACTGGAAGCTGTATAACCGCACGTTACCTTGCGATGGGTACTCTGGCACAGATGAAAGAAACACCCCCTGGATGCAAAGTCTGGTCCGAAGACTTCCCTTGCTGCCCGGATCGCAGCCATCTCGTAATCACTCACGATGACGCTGGGGTCTGGAGGGTAACCTTTTGATTCGCATGCGTCAAGGACGGCCCGAAAAAGCTCTCCATAAATCGCGAGGCTCTTTCCAGCAAGGAGAGCGTAGACGCAGGCGACCGAACTTTCTCCGACTGCGCACCTGAGCACGTAGAGTTCTTTGAACAGCGCGGGGCAGACTGAAAACGTCCCGTCCATATACCAGGTTGGGGTCGTGCTCAAGGCTCTGAGCTGCTCGCTGCTGGCGAAGACGAGCATCCGGTCCTTCCGCTCCGATCCGTTGTCATAAATAAGGAACGGCTGTGGCACTTCTCCTCCGGTCGTTGCCCAGATATCCTCGACCTCGAGCTTAGCCGTGGATTCTGGTTCCGCTGGGCGCAGCCGGCTTCTTTGCTGGCGCAAGTCGCGACGCACAGTCTCCAGGCTTGCAATATTTGCCCGCACAGCAGCTGACGAACTACATAACGCCTGGGCCAAAAGCTTGCTTGGTGGTTCCAACGTTTCTTGCGCCTTTCTTTTCAGGTTCATTCTTATCTTCGTCACCTTAACGTCGTTAAAGTCGCTGGCATGGTTATGCTCCATTACTGACCAGAAGCGAGTGGTCTGTAATGCCGAAAAAGGAAGATCGCCTTATGAGACGCTGCTTACTTAGAAAACACCATGGCAGTTTAAAATTTCATAATTCAACAAGTTCTTACTTTTTCATTGAAATATATCAGCTTGGAAATTACATTCCTTTGCCAATATTTAAAAAAAAGATAAAGTCGGATAATAGTTAAAATCGGTTCACGTTGGAAAGTGAAAATACGCCTAATTGCACGTGAAGGAAAAATTGTAAAATAGCCAGTAAGTATTATGGACGAACGGATAGACAGAAGTGGTATTTTGGGGCATGGGAGCACTCCTGGTCAGTTCTTTACACAGATCTTCTTCATTATTTTTCTATCCTAAATTTTACCTCTCTCCATCTCTTTATTGAAACGTACGTGCGGTGCGTCTTCGTTGTTCAGAAGATATATTTTTGCTAATAGGCAACATTAATTATTTTGAAAAGTAAAGAATCAATGAATAAATAAAACATTAGAGTCTAAGCACATCCACAAAATCATTTTTACCCCAAATAAATGCCAAACCCCTATTTTCTGCTCAACAATGTGAAGAAAACTACAGATCCCATAATAGCATGCAACACAAACATAGAAATATGCCCCAGCCCGTAGCTATTCTCTGCTGTTAAAACAAGGATTGTTATACTCACACCATGGTCCGTAGTTATTGCTCCCTTGCACCCGCCTGTCCGCTGCTTACGGCGCTGCCACCGGATCCACTCCTTTTTTTACTGCTTTTGCACGTAGTCGAAACCGTTAAGCAAAACTTTCGCCTTACCCTTGTTCGAACGAATTACCTCCATGATGACAGTCAGAATACTGATACGGCTAAAATGTTTGCTTTATACAGCAAACGTCTTCAGGAACTAGCGTTCGACTGTACCACCATCAACCAATAAGATAAAGGCAAAACTTTCCAATGTGTGATTCAAAAAGGAACCGCTAAGCGACAAAAAATATCTTTTTATCCTACCGGCTTGGCTTAATAAAGAAAAAAATATTTCTTAAACCAACTTTGAGAAACAACACAACAAAAGGTGTGAACCCTGCTTTGAAGTTACCATGGAAGGGGCTTAAAGGGACAATGAAGGCAATTTCGGAGATCTTCTTGGCGATTGAACTGGGTTCCAGGCACGTCTCAGGCCACGTTGCTCAAATTTCAGCCGAAACCGGCGCTTGTGTGCCGCGCAAATCAATTAAACAGTCGCGGTAATAATCGTACCGGGATCGACTGGGGCGACGCCCCGAGAGTTGCGGGAGAAGCCAGAAGAAGCTGAGCTCACGTGACCGATGCGGGGCCAAGGAGCGCGACGTCACAAGAGACGCGTCAGCGATTGGTCGAAACGCTTTTGACATCGCCGCATTTTTTAGATAGTCCTTCGATTCTGGGCATTCCTTAGCCTAAATTAACGCGATAATTGTCGGCATGGCAACGTCTTTGGAAAGCGGATTGCCTTGACTCAATCGGTCGGGTATTGATAGCACACAAGAGCAGACAGCGTCCCAATAGACTTTATTCTAAATTATCCAAGCATCGCGAGGAGAACGCTGGAAGTGTAATTCTACGGTCCACGCGCGCTGGCCTTCCTCTTATAAAAGATTTGAAGTAAAAAATCATAATAAGGCTTTAACTAACGCTCGTTCAAGGCAAAATTTGTTGTATACTTTTTGCTTTAGAACGGTTACTACTGCAGACGCCAGCACGTGCGACGCGTGCAACTACAGTCGTAGCATGCACCTCGGTGCTTGGATAATTTAGAAAAAAGGTATATTGGGACGCCGTCTGCTTTTGTGTGCTATCAAGAATCCGCTTTCCAAAGACGTTGCTATGTCGACAATTATCGCGTTAATTTAGGCCTAGGAGTGCCCAGAATCGAAAAACTATCTAAAAATTGCGGCGATGTCATTGCCCATGCTTTGCGGTTTAAGTGAGGTAAAGCAAAGCGAAAGCCTCCTGCACCATTCGTTGCTGACTAACGCGCCCGATATTGCAGCTACAACGACATATTATTTCCAAAGCGAGCGGCGCTCACTCACTGGGGCCCCGCCATGTTTCCCCGCATCCCTACCGAGCCCAGTCACGTGATTTAAAAAAATCCCTCTCCTAGATACTGCGGCTAACTTTAGCCGCGATTAGCGCTTCGAGCAAACGGGCCCTGAGCTGTCGATGAAACGATTTGTCGATGAAACAATCTGTCGATAAAACATCGCCGGTCGATGAAACACGATCAAGAACGCGATCGATGGGTCGACGCGCCTGCAGCCTCAGCTAGGATCTCCGACCCCACACACCGCTCACCACCTTGTATGTATTGCTATAGCGCAGAAAATAAAGCAAAAAACTGATCGAATTTCCGTATGTATCAATGCTTAAGATTTTTGAACACTCACAACGCCATGTTGGCTAGATAGCAACAAAACTGCTGAACCTTCTAAACAATCGAAATTCCGTCCAAAAGTTTCGGAATCTTCCGAAACAGTCCGAAACCCAAACATCCGGAGTTTCGCCCCATCACTATGCTCCGTTCATCGAAGCTCTGCCTTCAGCACGAGCTCGCAGGCTTCCGCAGTGCTTTGGTTGCGCGTGCCTGCGCGTTCACGCTAGTGCTAGCAAGGGCAGAAAGCTCGTGCTGAAGGCGGAGCTTCTAGTCTCAGGCTAAGCAACACCACCTAGACAGAAGGCCTCCACACGCGTCATCATAGTCAGATCGATCGAGGCGAGAGATTGGGCACGAGTGCTGCGTCAGTGTTCGGCTGCGGCTCGTGGCCAATCAGCGCGTCGAAGGTCGGGCTCGGGTCCAATAGCCGACCGAGCGCGATCCGACTGTGTTGACGTTTCATAGAGGAAGAGGAAACCATGCGGAGGCCTTCTGTCTAGGTGGTGTTGGCTTAAGTGACCGCGATCTGCGGCGTCGGTTCCCGTCGTTCCAGCGACATGAGGCATTGTTGTCAGTTCCCACGTGTTTACCGCACGCGATAACTCAGTCCCTGACACCGTGGTCCCTGACCACGATCTACAGTATCCACGATCTGCAGTATCGGTTCCCGTGACATGTCGGTTCATGGCAGGTGCCCTGGGGTTTATCACTAATTTGAGATGCGGAGCATCTCTTGCTCGGGTCTATGTCCCGCGGCGTCGTAGTCCGCACTCACACTACGCGTGCGCAACTCTCCTCCTTCCCTCTCTCCAACAGCTGCGCGTTACTCTCTCCGCTCTCTCTCTCTACCAGCTGCGTGCACTTCGCGTGCGTTCGCTTCTACTCACACCACGCGCGCATGCGCAACTCTCCTCCTCTAGTCTCCTCTCCTTCAAGTGTGAATATAAGCAGCGGCAGGGCGCGCTTTTTCGATCTGGATGAGTTTCGTACCGGCACGCGTTCGTGTGATCACTACTGCGTGATGCACGTTAAAAACCCCAGGTTAGTGGTTGTACTGCACTGGCTAAATTTCTCATCTACAGCTAAGAGACCGATTACCCGTTGAGGCGCATCTCCATCAAGGCTGTATAAACATAAAGAGCAAACCAATTTTTTTGCGCGCGTTCAGTTCACCGCTGTTGACTCCGCTTCACTCCGTTCTTCCGATGAAGTGTGATGGAAGCAACAGTCCCGTCAGTTAGTGGGTTGGCGCAAGCAAGCGTCAGCACCACCCCACAAACTAACAGCAACGCTACGTCCACTGAAAACAAAGCTGCGCAGCGAAGGGCACGCGACGCTGAGCGCAAACGCTTGAAGCGAGCGGCAGACACCGAACTACGGCAACGAGAAGCGGCGTCCATTCGTCAACTTCGAGGGGCGGATGCTGAACTACGACAACGTGAAGCAGCGGCGGTTCGAGAACGTCGAGCAGCAGAACCTGAGGTTCGGGACCGTGAAGTTCAACGTAAACGTACGAAGCGAGTGGCGGAACCCGACCTTCGAGAACGGGAAGCCGCGTTGGTTCGTGAACGTCGAGCAGCAGAACCTGAGGTTCGGGACCGTGAAGTTCAACAACGTTACTAACACCGTTAATAACGATCCGCGATGCTCCGCATCACCCTATGGTTCCCCTCGGGAAGATGGTGTAATTTTTTTTTTTTAATTAAATGTTGCTGTCGCATTTTCAAAGATCGTCCACCCGATATTTTTCACGAGTCCTTAAGAGTTGACGTAAGTCGTAAATTATTTTTTTTCAACGAAAAGGAAAATCTTTTCGCCACTCTTCCGATTTCCCCCTCTCCCACTCTGGTATCTCGACGACGAGCGGTTTCTTTTGTTGCTGCCCGAGTACGACCGAGAGAGACCAGACCGGTTTTTAAGCCTCTTACGACGTCTTAAGGCGCGTTCACACTCTTGCGACCGAGA